CTGTCTCTCAGCACTTCAGCTCAAGGCGAGCACTCTACCACTTGAGCCACAGTGCCACGTATGGTTTTCTGGTGGTTTATTGGATATATGAGTCTCATGGACTTTCCTTCCTAGGCTGGCTTTGAACCATGATCCTCCAGATCCCAGCCTCTTGAGTAGCTAGGACTACAGGCATGAGCCACCGGTGCCTGGCTATGCCTGGTTGTTGTTGTTTTTTTTTTAATTTAAAGATTATAAAATTAGTTTATTGCAAAAGAAAGTCATGCTACCCAATATATGCCTGGCTGTTTTATCATTTTTAAAAATTGTTTTTCAAACCTAGGTTTTCCATGATGATGATGCCATTCCCGGATGGGAAGGGAAAATTGTAGCTTGGGTAGAGGAAGACCATGGGGAAAATTGATGCTGAGTATTGGAACCCGGACACTCCACTCTCTGCTGCCTTCACTCAGGAAAGGACTAAAACCAGACACACTACGAAGTTTCTAATTCGTGCTGCCAAAACAGAAGCTTCTGCAAGTGTAACGGTCACAGGCCAGTCCCTTTGTGTGCCCAGCACATCTGTCCAAATGTGGATCATGGGTTCATCAGGAGTTCCTGGTCTATGAGAAGGAACAGAATTTTGTTCTACTCTGAGGACAACAAACCGAAGGCCTTAACCAGTGGCGATGAATGATCCCACTCCTGGGGGGGCCTGCTGCTGTGCTCTGCAATCGGGGAACTGAATGCTTCACTCCCGAGTGTTCTAGTATTGACCAGCCTCAGTGGTTGCAGCAGTCAAAAGTCCCAGCATTTGTGCTTACAGACAAGGCAAAGGTACAAACTTATCTGCTTCTTTGCAGATACCGCAAACCAGGACTAACTCAGAGATGGTACCAAGGATGGAAGCCCACTCTACACGAAGCTATTGAACATGGATGGTGCTGAATCGTCAATTAGATGGAAAAGGGCTGCTCCTATTGTGCTAAACTATACTAAAACCATCACTGAGATGGGCTGACTCTAATGGTCATAACTGGTTCTGCAGTTTGTCCTTCAGCCCACAGAGGGCATATTTCATGTACTGCTGATTTTCTCTGGTGACTCTTCAATTATAGAGCCATTTACTTACCTTCGAACTGACAAACTTGGAGTGAAAGGCTCCTTAAAAATCCAGGCGGGTATGGAAAGGTGCTGCTACCCATATCTTGTTGACTTTGTCTCATGACTTTGTTTAACTCATGGTATCTCCTTTGCAGTGGAAAGGAGACAGACCATTAATTTTAGTGTTTCTTTATGACTTATGAATACTGAGCATGACTTACTGGTCTGTCCCTCATTTCAAGACTGGAGTTATTTCTATTATATATTTTATCTAGGTTGATCTTTTAGGGCACAGTAGAACCCATGGGGGCATGGAGCATGAGTTGTGAATGGCAGGGTTGATTCAGGGTGAAAAAAAGCCTAAAATCATTTCTCATGTGCAACATAGTCAAATGTAGATGCTTAATGTGTTCAACTCCCAGAGATTATTTAGTAACTTGGACTTTTCTCATTCCTCAACCCAGCAACCACCAGTTAATCAGTGAATTTATACATACACATGTGAAAGATACATATGTATTCCCCAAATCAGTTTGCAACTACCAATGTACACTGCCTACCAAGAGGGACAGATCAGTAGATCAGTTCTTGACCTGTCTCTAGTTTATTCCTTCCTTTTGGCCATTTGAACAGACCATTCTTTGGAACTCTGAAATCACATCTTGTTATTTCCTATTGACATCTTTTAAAAACAGCTCACATTTGGAGAATTCTTTTGTACTCATTTGCTTTTCATCTGAGAACCATGTCTATTTTTATAACTCAAGGGTGAGTCTTATATACTCCCACATCCTGTATACTGTGTCCATTTTTCTAGAGAACCCAGTAGCTTTTATACAGTATCTTCGTACCACCTCTTGTGGTTTCAGAACAAACTTTATTTTATTACCAGAACACTCATGACAACTAATTACTTCCCCAGATATCTGCCTGCTATTTAGCTGTGGAGGGAGTTTCACGAAATCAAGTCGATAGCTCTTCTAGGAAAGAGAAACTCAAAAAATGACCTGACTTTTTTTCCATGTAAGATTTTTCATCACAACTAACCGGGAAAGTTTGGGAAAGTCAGCCATATGCAAGAATGTTCATTAGAAAAGCAAACAGAAGAAAACAGTATATTTTCAGGGTTTCTTTAGCCCCAAAAAGTCTGGAGAAAAAGTCCTTATGTTGCCAATTTCTCCGTTGCATGAGTTTTTGGTGTTTTTGCTATATGACAGCATGAGTGTTATCAGGCCAAAATTTGTTATTGCATTTCCAGTACAACTTATCTTGAATGTCTGTCTCTGAAATTCGTTTTTACGTGTCCATTTTCTTTCAGCAAACTGTCTTACCATTATGTGGACTTTGACTTTCTAAAGAAAATTAAATCACAGAAAAATTTCCAAGTCCTTTTCCTTTCGGAAAAGGAGCTACATAGCTAGCCTTGGTAAGCAGAAGTTGAATTCAGAGGAGACTATGAGATAACTTCTCTCCCTTAGCTCACTGACTTCAGGTACCATGGATAGAACGAGTAAGCATCTCTACTAGAGGATGTCAGTTGGGTAACTTGTGTAAACTGCTGGTGGTACTCATTTCAGAAGTGATGGAGCCTTCTATGCAGGAGCAGGCAGTGATCAGTATTCTGAATGGCTTCCTACGTGGCTGACTTTTTCATAGTATTGTCTGTTTGTGGCACTGGTGTAGGACAGATGGTCTTTCCTGCTACTCAAGTTCTCAATCCTTGAGAAAAACTAAAGAACTACAGTGTTTAGGGAGTCTAAGAAAACAATCTAAACCATGTTAAAAACAAATACCTTTCTCATAAAAGCTAGTTTCACTGAGGATTTAAGTCCTTAAAGTTTTGGTTGGTCATGGGTCTTGAATTCAGGGCCTGGATACTGTCCCTGAGCTTTTTTACTCAATGCTAGTGCTCTACCACTTTGAGCCACAGTTCCAATTCTGGTTTCCTGGTGGTAAATTGGAGGTAAGTCTCATGGACTTACCTCATGCCAAGGTTGGTTTTGAACAGGGATCCTCTAATCTCAGCCTCCTGTTTAGTTAGGATTACAGGCATGAGCCTTAAGTCTTTTAAAAACTGAAGACTCATCTGCTTGCTCAATTCTCTAAACTAATCAAGACTGGAACAGGATGATTTGCACCTAAAGCATTTGGGTTAGTTGGGCATGGGTGGTGTATGCCTGTAATCCTAGAACTTATGAGGCAGAGGCAGGAGAATCTCAAATTCAACACAAACCTGAGCTACATACTATGATTCTGGTTCAAAAAATTTTAAATAAAACTTTTTTTTGTTCAACACTGACCACCTTTTAGCTATTTTTGACCAGGATGCTTGTAAATTAGGGGGAAAACTATCTTTATGTTCTACATCAGATCTCAGAGGGCTCTATTTTAGAATATTTAGGTCATAATTATTTTCATTTTTTTGCCACAAACTAAGCATTATGATTGTACTTCTATTGTCTAAATTTATGTAAGAGGTTTAATGTGCTTAAAACCTATCTAAAATTCTATTTTCTTAGGAACATGGATGTTTGCAACCTTTGCTTTCAAAGAGAATGTTACTATGTATTCTCCCTGTTTTACAATGCTTTCATGACACCAGTGCTATGCCAGAGACTTCTGATTATCAGAGTGATAACCAGTTTTAACTGCCTGTACATACTAAATTTGTAAACGAATTAAACACACACACACAAACTATGAATAAAATGGAGTTTGCAAACTAAATCCCATTAGTCATTTTCATTTGTGTTTATTGACTGAGATTAATGTACAGTAAGTGAATTACATTTAGGGAAGGTAAATTCCCTCAAGTGATCTCCCTGGTAACTGTGTTTACTCACTACAAGACTGGTGATAAGGGTGGCTTTACTGGCTCAGATGTTTTACTATTGGTATTTCTAATGTAAACACAAGTGCCTAAGGATTAATTTAGCATTTCTTTTGAAATTATATATGAATGTACAAAACAATAAACCTAGGAGTACACTATACAACAAAAGTCTAATTTGCAGACACTAACAGTTCCCAAGACTGGATCTTAAGCAAAATAAAGCTTTTGGCTAATTAAAGGTATCTATGGTAACTGGGTAGTAACACATCTATTTGCAAATCTATTGTCTTCAAGGAAGGAGGCCGAGTACACAGCGCCCAGCCTTGGTCTGTCTACTTGGGACTCGTGGCAGGAGAACCGCTTACCCTCCGTCCCAGGGGTGCTGAGCAAAACTAACTGGAGATCTTTGTAACCCAAGCCCAGCCTGCGCGGGGCGGAGCCTGGGGATCCTTTTCCTAACTCAGGGGAATGAGATCCGAGGGTCTAAAGTTCGAGGCCAGCTTTAGCAGAAAAGCCTGGAGACTCCTCTCTCCAGTTAGCCACCAGAAAGCCGGTCCCCACGCTGTGGCTCAAGTGGTGGAGGGATCGCCTTGAGCGAGGAAGCTCAGGGGCAGCGCCCAGGCCCTGAGTTCGAGCCTCAGGACCGACACACAAAGGTGCCAAGGGCAAACCGCTTAGGCCTTTCATTGCCCCGGCCTACAGCTTCGGACGGCTTCGCCCATCCGATGTTCGGGCTCATTTCCGCGCTAAACCCTCGGGGTCCCCAGGCCCCAGCCGCCCCCGACCCCCCTCTGACCCCCCTTCACCTCGCAGGCCCCGCCCTAACCTGTAGGGAGCAGCTCCTGACACCCCGCATCCTCTACCCCTCTCCTTTTTCACACTTCTCCCGAATTTGGGACGTAGCCCCGTCCCGCGAGGTTCCAGATCAGCCTCCCGTGCGAGGCCCGCCGCCCCGGCCGGGGAGGAGGAGCCGCCGACGCGCGCGCTTCCGGCCGGGGGCAGAGGGGGGGAGGGGGGGGAGAGAGTGTCGTAAACCGTGTCCGCCGGCTTTGCGACAGCGCGCGACGGCGCGGAGTGGCTGACGGCAGAACCGCGCTGCTCTTGGAGAGGTCACTGCGGAGACACCGCCTGGGTTTTGGGGCGTGCAGGGGTGGGGGGCCTGTGGCACTATGTGGCGCCTCTGTGCGCGACAGGCCCAGAGTGCAGCCCCGAAGGTAGGACTTGGGGCTCGCTGGACGGCCTTGAGAGAGGGACCCGGAGCCCCGAGCGCGAGCCGGCGGGCTGGTCCCACTTTGGTCCGTTGCCGCAGCGCGACCACCGGGCATGGCGGGGTCCGGGCCCTGTGTCGCTGGGGCCCCAGCCCCGGGCCCGCTCCTCGGAATCGCCTGCTGCTGCTGCAGCTTCTGGGGTCTCCAGGCCGTCGCTGGTATAGTCTACCCCCGCATCAGAAGGTGAGAGAGCCCCCCCTCCCCGGGACCCCCCGCACCTCTCGGGGCCGTCGGGTACTTGGGCCTCAGTGACCTGTCATCGCCCTTCTTCCCAATCCTCGCTTGGCCGGCGTCCTCGAGCTTGCCCCCAAGTCGTGGTTCTGTCCCATTGAGAGAAGCAGCTCCAGAGCCTGGGGCTCTAGGTAAAATGTCTGGCCAAGTTCGTGCCCTGCCAGAGCTACAGGTTACTGGAAATCGTCCGGATGCCAGGAATTCTCTTTGTGTCCAATGAGACTTAGTAAACGTCTTCTTCTTCTTCTTTTAAATGTTGAGTAGCCCTTTTTAAACTTGGTGCTTTTTTCTCCCCCCTTCTCCTCTAGGTTCCGTTGCCTTCTCTTTCCCCCACTATGCAGGCAGGCACCATAGCCCGTTGGGAGAAAAAAGAAGGAGAGAAAATCAACGAGGGAGACCTAATTGCAGAGGTAAGTTGTACAATCTGTAGGTGGACTTTAAAGGACTGGCTTGGCTAAATGGTTTGCACTTTAGCTTTCTGGAGAGTAGCTAACTCTTTTTTGCTTAAAAAACTGATTTCGCTCGCTGCTTGATATTGGATATATGTTTATTTATTTTGGTTTGTTTTGGCACTGGGGTTTTAAAGTCAGAGCCTAGGCACAGTCCTTTAGTTTTTTTGCTCCAGGCTGGTGCTTTATCATTTGAGTCACCCACTTTTGGTATGTTAGTGTTTAATTGAAGAGAAGAGTCTCATAGATTTTTCCTGCTTGGGGCTGACTTCAATCTTTGAATCACATATCTCAGCCAACTGAAATATCTAGGATCATAGCTATGAGCTGCTTACTGGTGCTTGGCCTCATAATGGCTTGGTATTAGAGATGATTGGTTAAATCAGTTTTCAACACTTGCCAAACTGATTTTTTTTAAACCAAGGTTTTGGGTTATTTTTAATATAATTTCTTTGAAATCTGTGATAGCAGCTTTATCTTCACATGACTGTTGAAGTGTGTCATTCTGGGTGCATGCTAAGAAACTTCACATTGGCATGACAAACCTAAGATACTGCTTTATGTTAAAAGGTTGAAACAGATAAAGCCACTGTTGGTTTTGAGAGCCTGGAAGAGTGTTATATGGCAAAGATACTTGTTGCTGAAGGCACGAGAGATGTTCCTGTTGGATCCATCATATGTATCACAGTTGGAAAGTGAGTAGAACCCCTGTCGTTTGTGGATGATCAGTGTTTATTCTTTTAATTCTAAATTGAAAAATGAGGACTCAACTACTTCCAAAGACCTGTGTGACGACCACATCTGCTTATCATCCCCTCGTATTTATGCATTCTTTCTCTTCCTTAGGCCAGAGGATATTGAGGCCTTTAAAAATTATACATTGGATTCCTCAGCAGCACCGACCCCACAGGCAGCCCCAACTCCATCTCCAGCCGCTGCCTCAGCCCCTGCATCTTCTGCTCAGGCTCCCGGCAGCTCATATCCAACTCATATGCAGGTGAGGCTCAGCTTCTCATAGCTTGCACTTGATGACTGTTTTTCATAAGTGCTATTAGAGCCTGGAAACTGGCTTTAAATCGGGTTGGCTCTTGTCATTTGGGAGTATACAGAGGTTTAACCATGAAAACTGACCGCTTTACTGCTGCTTGCTGTTTTCAAATGTGTGAATTTGGACAGATCCCCTAATCTTTCCCAGTCTCAGTGTAGTACACAGGCTAATGCTTTAAAATTTCTCACTCAAGAATATTATGTTAGAGAAGATAATTTCTAATTATGTTTTATTGCTGTACACATAGTTTAAACATTGGGTGCCATCCTTTAAAGGAACATTCCCAGTTGGTGTTTGCCTTTCCTTTTGGTAGTACTAGGGATTAAACCAAGAGCCTCATGCTAGGCAAGCATTCAATCACTTGAGCTATGTTCCTATCCCTTCTTTCCTTCTTTCCTTCCTGCCTTCCTTTCTTCCCTTTCCCAATCCTAGCACTTGAACTCAGAGCCTGGGCACTGTCCTTGAGCTTCTTTTTGCTCAAGGCTAGTACTCTATCACTTGAGCCATGGTACCACTTCCTGCTTTTTCTGTTTATGTGGTACTAAGCTTTATGCATGCTAGGCAAGCACTTTACCACTAAGCCACATTCCCAGCCCCCCACCCCTTATTTCCGAGACAGAATCTCACTACTTCTTGCTCAGACTGGCATTGAATTGTTGATCCTTTTGCCTCTACATCCTGAATAGCTGGAGTTCCTGGTTTGTGCCATGATACCTAGTCTTCCTTTGATATATGGTAGTCTTTTCTAAGAGTAGGTGGCAGAATTCTGGTAGTTTATTATTTAGTTGTTTTGAAATCTATGCCTGGTTGAATATCTTAATTGAATTAACGTGTATGTTTTCTACCTTTTTGTTGTGTGATATTTAAAATCATTTCTCTAGCAATTTTCAAGAAAATACTATTAACTATAATCACCAAAGAATACTATCTGTAGAATGCTAACTAGTCACCAGAGATTTTTTTCCCCCCTCCAGTGCTAGGCATTGAACCTAGGGCCTCATGCATGCTAAGCAAGTATTCTGCCAATAATCTATTTCCAGCCTGAAGATGACTTCTTTTTTGACAATCCTCGAGTTTGAGCTCTGGGCCTTTTCACTTGCTAGACAGGCACTGTACCAATGGGCTACACTTCCAGCCCATTTTTTGTACTGGTTATTTTAAGATAGGGTCTCACTTTTAACCTGAATAGCATCCTGTTTTATACTTCCTGCTGTAGCTAAGATGACAGTGTGTGTCAGCATACCCAGTTTTCCCCAGTTGTGGGGATTTTGAACTCTGGGCCTGGATGCTGACCCTGAGCATTTTTGCTCAAGGCTAGCACTCTTACCACTTGAGCCATAGCTCCACTTGTAGCTTTTTGGTGGTGAATTGGAGATGAGAATCTCAAGGACCTTCTTGCCTGGGCTGGCTTTGAACCACAATTCTCAAATTTCAGCCTCCTAAATCGCTAGGATTACAGGCATAAGCCATTGGAGCTCAGCCCATACCCAGCTTTTTATTGGTTTAGATGGGGCTTTATAGACTTTTTGCCCAGACTGGCCTCGAACTGTCATTCTCCTGATCCCAGCCTGTTGAGTTGCTAGGATTGTGAGTTAGTGGACCAATCAACAAAAGTATGTCTTAATTTAGTTTTTCTTTGTGTGTGTGTGTGTATGTGTGTGTATTCTGAGAAGTTTGGAACAAATGTAGCCTCTTATGCGTGAAAAGATAATAGAGGCTATTTCAAGAATTGTGTGGGTCAAGATCATTTTGTGAAACAAATTTCCACATTAATCTATACTTTTTTGTTGTTGTTCCAGTCCTGGAGCTTGAACTTAGGATCTAGATGCTGTCACTTAGCTCATAGGCTGAAAGCTAGTGCTCTACCACTTGAGCATAGCTTTGCTTCTGGCTTTTTAGTGGTTAATTGGAAGTAAAAGTCTCACAGACTTTCATGCCTGGGCTGGCTTTACATCTTGACTCTCAGATCTCAGCTTCCTGAGTAGCTAGGATTATAGGCGTGAGCCACTAGCACCCAACCTTTTTTTTTTTGGTGGATGGGTGGGGGAGACCTGGGCACTGTCCCTGAGCTTTTGTTGTTCAAGGCTAGCACTCTACCACTTGAGCCACAGTGCCACTTCAAGCTTTTTCTGTGTATGTGGTACTGAAGAATCAAACCCAGGGCTTCATGCATGCTAGGCAAGCACTCTACCACTAAGCCACATTCCCAGCCCCGTAGCACTCAGCCTTTTATTCTGTATTTTATGAAAAGATGAAAGATGGTTTGGGCCTCAATATATATTCAGGAAATAGTTTTGTCTGGAAGACATCTTTGCCATCCCTCTTTAAACTCCATCTTTGCTTCAAACCTAGAGAGTAGTTCAACATATCAGTGATAAGCTTGGGCTCTGAAGGGCAGTTTAAGCAGTGGGAAATGACAGAGGCTGCGATGGGCATATGTGGATTGTCATAGTCACTAGCATTCCCTGAAATGCACAGCTTAAGAGCTTTCATGTGTAATGATTCCTAGAATTAAGTAGACTACATGTATTTGTCTCTGCAGGTACTTCTTCCTGCCCTCTCTCCCACCATGACCATGGGCACAGTTCAGAGATGGGAAAAAAAAGTGGGTGAGAAGCTAAGTGAAGGAGACTTACTGGCAGAGATAGAGACGGACAAGGCCACTATAGGTGAGATTTGTTTTCAGCTTCTAATAATGAGGCACTGAGCTTCGAGGTTTGCCATCCTGGTCTATACTGAGTGAGTAACAATATGAACATTTTTACTGTTCTTAGGATGTACTTCCTGAGATGTTTTACAACAGTGACATGCACCATCAGATTTTTCAATTCCATGTTGTACACATTGAATCAAGGACTTGTCAGTTCAGCAGCTGTTCTTAGGCCAGAATTTTCTTCTTAGTGTACTTTTATGTTCCTAAAAATCTGTGTCAGAATTATCATTGTGAAATCTGGATGAAGGAAGGAAAGGGGAAAAAGAAGAAAAATCACCAACAAGACAGGAAAATACCAAAGGATTTAACATGATTTTTATCAGAAAACTGAAACTAGGGCTTAGATTGTTCTCATTCTTTGAGCTATACATACATACCAATCTTTTTAGATATATGAAATTTTCATGTACTTCATGTTAAGTGCTTTTTATGTTCTGAAACAACCCTACCCCTCCCCAATCATATTTATGGTAGTACATAGATAGGTACTCCTAGTATTAGAAGTTTCTTATGGGGGCTGGGAAGGTGGCTCAGTGGTAGAGCGCTTGCCTTGAGCTGAAGAGCTGATGGACAGCGCTCAGGCCCAGAGTTCAGGCCCCACAACTGGACCCCTTCCCCCTAAAAAAGAAGTTTCTTACTTCTGCTCCATTATCACCATTCAAGGGGAAGCCTGTTCATTTCTTTTTTTTTTTTTTTGAGTCCGGTCGTGGGGCCTGAACTCTGGGCCTGGGCGCTGTCCCTCAGCTCTTCAGCTCAAGGCTAGCGCTCTACCACTTGAGCTACAGCACCACTTCTGGCTTTTTCTGCTTTTGTGGTGCTGAGAATCGAACCTAGGGTCTCATGCATGCAAGGCAAGTGCTCTACCACTGAGCCACCTTCCCAGCCCAAGCCTGTTCATTTCATGGGGATTTAGCTTAGCAGGAGAACACAGGCACTCTCTCCAGTGGTGGCTTTCAGGGTATGTTCTTCAAGCCCATCTTTCTTGGATAGTACCCTGGAGCAAAGAGGGATTAAGAGTAGGATCCTGCAGTGGCCTGCTCTCCTTCCCCTCTCCACCAGAGCAATTCCTTTAGCTTTTTGTATATCAAACTCCTAAGATTTTTTTTTTTTTTTTTATTGGTCATGGGGTCTGAACTCTGGGCCTGGGCGCTGTCCCTCAGCTCTTCAGCTCAAGGCTAGCGCTCTACCACTTGAGCTACAGCACCACTTCTGGCTTTTTCTGCTTTTGTGGTGCTGAGGAATCGAACCTAGGGTCTCATGCATGCAAGGCAAGTGCTCTACCACTGAGCCAGCCCCTGGTTTTTAGTGTGTTTTTTTTGAGACAAGGTTTAGAAATTTGTCATTCTCTTTGTCTCAGTCTCCTTAGTATGAATATTGCAGGTGTATGTCACATCCAGCTTTAGTTTTCCTTTTGTGACTCAATGCTTAAATTTCTTGCAAGAAAAGCAGTAGCTGAATACAAGTTGTCAGATCATAAGAATCTAGCAATGCTGAATTTCTTCACATTGAAATATATGGTATAATACCAAATATAACCTCTTTGAAAATATTTGAATATGCTTTTACAGCTGAAATCCCCTATCACTGTCTACCTTGGAAGCTTCCTTGATTTGACTTTATGGGACTCTGATCTTCAGCAATACAGCTGATACCATCTTGAGTTCTGTGAATCTGCATGTGGATTGACCTTAGAGATATTTTCAGCAACTTTCAGAAGCATCTACCATTGGTCATCTCTCACAGTGCAAGATGCACTTTTTCCTCAAGTACCTTCAGTTCCCTGAATTGGAGGGCCAACTGTGTTTATTTACTTTGTACCACGTGCTGTGATACAATAATGATTAACTTAAATTCTTAACATCCCTGTAAGGTAGATATAGTCATCCTTGGTACCTGTGAGGTTCCAGGATGTTCCTCTACCAAAATCTCTACATATGCAATTTCATTATATAAATGAGCACATTCTTTTTCTTTTTTTTTTTTTTTTGTTTGTTGTTGCTGGAAAGTATGTGTGTGTTTGTGTGTGCTTGTATTTATGTGTGTTAAGAGACTGAACCCTGCTCCTGGCAAGATTTCTACCACTGAGCCTTACTCCTACCCTCTTCAGTATGTATATAATTAATATAGATATATACTATATATGTAATATAATATGTATGTATAGACACATATATGTATATTATATAAATACATTTAATACATGTAGATTTACAACATACATATGTGTGTATTTATAATTATGTGTGTTTATATGTATAATGTAATATATACATACACATATAATTTATACACATCTATACTTATATACGTGTGTGTGTGTGAATAAATGTTGTCAGGAGAAGTAGTTTATATCACGTATCAAGTTTTCTAATACTCAAATACACAAAGTTAATTGTATAAATACAATGCCGGTTGTGGGGCCTGAACTCTGGGCCTGGGTGCCGTCCCTTAGCTCTTCAGCTCAAGGCTAGTGCTCTACCACTTGAGCCACAGTGCCATTTCTGGCTTTTTCTGCTTATGTGGTGCTGAGGAATCGAACCCAGTGCTTCATGCATGCAAGGCAAGCATTCTACCACTGAGCCACCTTCCCAGCCCCTATATATCTTATCTACTGACATCTCTGACAACATGCCTACCTATTCTGTAACCTATGTTTTGAAAGAGAAACTGTTCAGTTCCACCACTATAGGCAGTTCTAATTCTTGGTGCAACTTAGGAACATGGAGCCTGTGAATGCCAAAGTCTGACTGTACTGTAATTGCTCTCATTTTGTAGATAAAATGAAACACAGGTTAGATAGTTTATAGAAAAGTGATGTTGTAGGGATAATGGTGTCTCTGAAATCCTTTAATGTATTTCCTTCTATTCAAGGTTTTGAAGTACAGGAAGAAGGTTATCTGGCAAAAATCCTGGTTCCTGAAGGCACAAGAGATGTTCCTCTAGGAACCCCACTTTGTATCATCGTAGAAAAAGAGGCAGATATAGCAGCATTTGCCGACTATAGACCAACTGGAGTAACTGACTTAAAACCACAAGCACCACCACCTGTCTCACCCCCGGTAAGTATGCCTCTAGAATCAAGAGAATTTGTCCCATCCATGTCTAAATCAAAAGGATTTCATTAGATGACATCCTCGGTTCTTTCAGTTCCAAGAACCTACAAGTAAGGAAGGAGCTAAGTTGTTAACTTTGATGGAGCCTGTAGGGTCTGTTATACTGCACAATCCACCTAATAGTTCATAGTTTGATCCTTGTAGCTTTTTTCTCCTGCTGTCTGGAGCGCTGCTTAGAACAAAGCTTAGGTGACATGTTCGATTTCTGCTTTGGGTATAAATGTGCTTATGGAAGGTGAGGTTTCACTCCCTGTTGTCTGTTGATTTTACTACACGATCTTCATTATATATAATTTTAGACCCTGCATATTCTTGGAAAATGTTACGATCATGACATGGCTTGGACAGAATTTAGTTTATTACTGTACTTTGTTCAGCATTCTGTATGCCTGTATTGTGAACTTATATTAACTCTAAGCATAGATAACCCTTATAATGAAGCTTCTACAGAGGGGAAAATTGTGCATGCTTCTCAAGGACTCATTGTCCTGAGTGTATGGGGAGGGAACTGTCCAGGAGCAGTGTTAGTTTGTTTCTTATGGTACTTTCCCATGTGGAATCTTGTAGTGATGAACTTGTTGGTGATGAACTTAATGAGAACTTAATAGGAAGAGATTAAAGTACAGGCAGGTGAAGATTATACTGTAGTTAGCTTACATGTGCTACCATGAAGTAAGATTGTTGGATTTTGTTGGGTCTTTGACAAGAATTATTACTCTTGCTGTTCCTCTGTCATGTAGATATTATGTATTTAAGCAGGAAAAATGTGCATTGTGATATTTGGGGGAAATGTTATTTAAGTTTGTTTAAGCTTATGAAGTTTTTAGCTTCATAAAATGTAAAAAGTCTTTGCTGTGGTGAATCAGTAATTTATAATTTTTTCAAAAGGTGGCCACTGTTCCTCCAACTCCTCAACCTTTAGCCCCTACACCATCCGCCACTCCTGCTGGGCTAGCTGCTCCTTCTGGACCAAAGGGAAGGATATTCGTTAGTCCTCTTGCGAAGAAGTTGGCAGCAGAGAAAGGGATTGACCTTTCACAAGTAAAAGGTAAATCTCTAGGAAATGAGACATGAAGTTAAGATCTAGCTAAACTATAGGTTATGGTGTCAACAAGGATAATAGGGCTTAGAAGGATGAAGGAGGAAAATATTTCCCTTTTGCCTTCACAGAGTATAGAAACTACTGTGTTTTACTTACTCTGCCTCCAGTCTATCTGTATGTAGGATTTAGATGCCTTTCCTTCACTTTGCTCTATTTGTGGGAGCAACCTATTATTGATGAAAGGAAATTTGCTTATTAAGCAAAGTTGTGTTATAAGGTTTGCTTGTATAATCTGAAGAACTTTCTGGTAGGGCAAGGTTGACTATAAGCAATAAGTGAAATAAAACATAAAGGTGAGGGAATTGGAAATGACTTAAAATAATAAACTCAGCTGTGTGCCAGTGGCTCATGTCTGTAATCCTACCTACTCAGGAGGCTGAGATCTGAGGATTGTGGTTCAAAGCCCGTGCAAAGCCAGCCTGAGCAGGAAAGTCTGTAAGACTCTTCTCTCCATTTAACCACCAGAAAGCAGGAAGTGACACTGTGGCTCAAGTGGTAGAGGTTCACCTTGAGCTGAAGAGCTCAGGAACAGGACCTAGTCCCAGAGTTCAAGCCCCATGATTGACCCCCGCCCCCAAAAAAAATAATAAAAATATTCAAGTGTTGTAGTACATACTGATAATACCAGCACTTGGGAGGCTGAGGCAGGAAGATTTTAAGTTTAAAGCTAGCCTGGGCTCTAACAAGACCCTCTTTAAGAAAACTAACTAAAATAAAACTAAGCCAAACTAAAACTCCCTAAAGACAATGTAAAATGCCTTATTCATCTCTTTTTTCCCCACAGTAAAAAATGTGGCTCAGTAGTTAGAACATGTGATATGGAATTTTGGCTTTATTGTTTTGTAATATGTCTGGGTGAATTACAGTTTAGCTTATGCATGTCTTAATCTGAAATCTTTTTGTGTTGTGTGTGTTTTTGTGTATATCAGTCTTAGGGCTCGAACTCAGGGCCTGGGTACTGTCGCTGAGCTTTTTTGCTCAAGGCTAGCAGCACCCTTACCACTTGAGCCATACTTCACTGGTAGCTTTTTAGTGGTGAATTGAAGACAAGAGTCTCAAGGACTTTTTTGTCTGGGCTGGCTTTGAACCTTGATCCTCAGATCACAGCCTTCTGAGTAGCTAGAATTACAGGTAGAAGCCACCTGTGCCCAGCTTTCCATCTGAACTCTTTAACTTACCTGTGTTTCCATCTACAAAACTAAAATAATAGTGTGCATCATATAGAATGATGAGAATTAAATGATCTGTAAAGTAAAAGCTCTTAGTATCTAGCATATAATTGCACAAAGTATATTACTTGTCATTCATATTGCTATTATTACCTAGCACTTAAATATTCTTTAAATAAACTTAATGTCTCATGTAGATAATTAAAATACTTTTACTCCTTTGAGGACCTGGTTTGATGGCTGGAACTATATGCTGCTCATTTAATTTGCACAGCATTTCTTGAAGTAGGACTACCATTACATTTTGGATAGGAAGAGAATCTTTAAAAAGTTGTAGTTTGAGACTAGATTTGTTTAGCTCTAAATCTGGTTTTCTTCTTCCCCTGTGCTGTTGTCTGTCTTTTTTTTTTTTTTTTTTTGCTGGTGCTAAGGCTTGAACTCAGGGTCTGGGGGCTCTCCTGGGCCTCTTTGTATTCAAGGCTAACACTTTATCACTTGAGCCACACACAGTGCCACTTCGGGCTTTTTCTGAGTGGTTTATTGGAGATAGGGCTTTTTCTGAGTGGTTTATTGGAGATAAAGAGTCTCATGGATTTTTTCTGCCCAGGCTGACTTGGAACCATGATCCTCAGATCTTAGCCTTTTGAGTAGGTAGGATTACAGGCATGAGCCGCCGGCACCGGCTCTGCTGTTTGTCTTGGTGTACTGCTATCATAATTGCTGAAGAAAAATGTGGTCAATTCTGCAGTTGTCCAGCTGTGGACACTTGGTGCTTGCTATCATCTACCTGCAAGCCATTATTTTCTGGCTAAAAGTTAAGCTGATCCCAGGACACAAAAATAGCTTGTACATTTTTTTTTCAACCTCTGAGATTTCTTTTTTTTCTTCCCCCTCTACAGTATGTTATTTCATTCTGTAGGTGATTAGAATTAGGCACTTGGCTTAGAGAGAGGAAGGACTGGTTTAATACTTAAATCTGAAGAATTTAGACATTATTTTACTAAAAAGACAAATTGAAAAGTCCCAGTATTCTTACCATGTAAGCAAAGATAGCTGATTATAGTTGATTCATTTATTATAAAAGCAAATCATTACTGAGTACTCTGTATGCATGAAGTACTTGTTCATAAATTAGTAAGACTTCAGTTTGAATTGCTCACTGTGGCCAGCAAAGAATTAAGTGAGCCAAAAGGGAGTAGCTTAGTACTTCACAGAAGGCTCTGAAGGTAAGAAGCTTGAGTTTAAATGTCAGCTCTGCCATCTACTAACTGTGTGACCTTTTGTATCTGTCACTTCATTTGTGTATAAAAATAAAACTTAATAGGTTGTGAGCAGTCAACAAGTGCCTACAGAGAAAGAATATTAGTTCCCATGGTAATTTTTTTTTTTAAAAATAAGACAATTTAACAGCTAGGAAAGAAGTAGAGTTATAGTGAACAGCAGGATAGATCTGTGTGCTGTCATGACTACTTTTAGACGGGAGGCTGAGGAAGACCTTCCGGATGAGGTGATGTGTGATCTGATCTGCAAGATGAGTCAGTCAGCTGTGAGTCAATCAAAGACATGGGGAAAGAGCCTTTTGGGCAGAGACTGGCAATATACTGTTTGAGCTTGGAAAAGAGCTTAGCATTTTTGAGGAGCATAAATGGAGGGGTTTAGAGGGAGGCAGGATCTAAAGGTAAGAGATAAGGTTGGAAAGATAGAGATTCAAACATCAAGGACCTTATAGATCATGATGAAGAGTTTCATCTGATTTGAAATATAGAAAGCTATTGAAAGACTTAAGGAGGTGAAAATAAAATGGTTTATATTTTTGAAGGATCATTTTCATTGCTCTGAGGAAATGGGATAAATGAAAGCTGTGACACTTGTGATGATTCTGTGGTTAGAGATGATGCTGGTGACTTAGAATGAAAGTGGAAATGAAAAGAAGTGCCAGATTCTGAGATTCATTATTTACATAGAACCAACAGAACTTAGTCATGTGTGTCTTTGGGAATTTGACAGCTGTAATTTCAGATGGTGGAGTGCACGAAAGCAAAATGTGGTCATTTCTATACCTGTGTCACCTAATCTTTTTTTTTTTTTTTTAATTAATCCTGGGGTTTGAACCCAAGGCCTGGGCACTGTCCCTTGAGCTTCTTTGGCTTGAGGCTTGTGTTCTACCACTTGAGCCACAGTACCACTTCTGGCTTTTTCTGAGTAGTTTATTGGAGATAAAATTTGTCACATATATACCCAGGTCTGGCCAGGGTTCACTCAAATTTTGTAGTCTAAATGAAAGACAGCTAAAAGAACAGATGTTAGGATAGGTACTTAATAGAGCTTAACTGTTCTTGAGACTGACTCACCTCCTCCCCATGTAAAGAATACCCCTTGGAGCCAAGGGCTGATGGCTCATGCCTGTAATCCTAGCTACTCAGGAAGCTGAGATCTGAGGATCCAGCTTGGGCAGGAAAATTTGTTAGACTCTTTATCTCCAATAAACCACCAGAAAACCAGAAGTGGCACTGTGGCTCAAGTGATAAAGCGCTAGCCTTGAGCTGAAGAGCGCAGGGACAGCACCCAGGCCCAGAGTTCAAGCCCCACCACCACAACAAAAAGTGTCATGGAGCTGGCTTCAAACCAGGCTCCTCATATCTCAGCCTCCTGAGTAGCTAAGATTACAGGTGTGAGCCACTGTGCCCTGCTAATCTTGTCATTTATCATAGGTGGAAAACTGGGTGAAGACCTGGTGATAGCACAGTGAGTAGCTCATTTCATGGTTTGCTATGAAAGAAGCTGTAGAAATGTAGGTGTAGTTTTAGGGAAATGTGGACTTTAGGTTTCTGAAGATAAGTGATAATGGGTGAGGCTAGTATAATTTCTCAACTCTGGCCATATGATTCTTGGTTATGGTTATAAGGTATGTTAAAGATTTATTATGGGGTATGCCATTTGCATTGTGGGATGTTGCTGACCACCAAAATGTCTCATGCGACTATTACAGAGAATCACTAGTTTAACGGAAAGGGATTGGGCAGGATGTTTTTTGGCCAGGAACCAAGTTCTTAAGAATATATGAGAGCCGGCCGCTGGTGGCTCACGCCTGTAATCCTAGCTACTCAGGAGGCTGAGATCTGAGGATCACGGTTCAAAGCCAGCCCGGGTAGGAGAGACCATGAAACTCCTATCTCCAATAAACCACCAGAAAACCGGAAGTGGCGCTGTAGCTCAAGTGGTAGAGCACTCGCCTTGAGCTGAAGAGCTGAGGGACGGTGCCCAGGCCCAGAGTTCAAGCCCCACGACCGACAAAAAAAAAAAAAAAGAATATATGAGAAGGCTGGGAAGGTGGCTCAGTGGTAGAGCACTTGCCTTTCATGCCTGAGGCCCTGGGTTCGATTCCTCAGCACCACATAAGCAAAAAGATAAAAGTCGGAAGTGGTGCTGTGGCTCAAGTGGTAGAGTGCTAGCCTTGAGCTGAAGAGCTGAGGGACAGCGCCCAGGCCCAGAGTTCAGGCCCCATGACCGGACCCCCCCCCCAAAAAAAAAAAAGAATATGAGAATGAGTGGTATTGGCCTTTTTAGGAATTTGGGTTCTTTTTATCTATTCTAATGGATGAGTTTATTAGTTTGGTGGTATAGTTTGGTTAATAGAGCCTGAGGTAAAGGGATCAGCTGGAGACTGAGTCTGGGAAGGAATAGGGTTAGAGAGATTGTAAACAAGTCTTCTTAGAGATTGGAAGGTAAATTTAAAGTAAACAATTGAATTTCTGGGCAGTTTTTTTTTTTTTTTGTCAGTCATGAACTCTGAGCCTGAGCGCTGTCTCTCAGCTCTTCAGCTCAAGGCGCTCTCCCACTTGAGCCACAGCATCACTTCTGGCTTTTTCTGCTTATGTGGTACTGAGGAATCGAACCCAGGGCCTCATGCATGCAAAGCAAGCACTCTACCACTGAGCCACCTTCTCACCCTCTCTGGGCAGTTTTTGTCTGTGCATTTTAGGTTTGTGGTTCTGAACATGAGAATCACCGTGTATGTCATTTATCCCCCCTGGTAACATTAAGCTACTCTGCTTGGTAAGAAGTCAAACATAGTTTTAGAATTTTACCCTAGAGTGATTATAACACCAATCTGTACAAGATATTTTGGGAAAGGAAGAAACCAAAGACAAGAAGAAGGTCATGATAATGAGAGAACAGTGGAGGAGATTTTGCAGTGATGAGTTAGAGAATAGTCCAGGCTCAACAAGCTTAGTATCAGTGCTCAGGGGGTATTTCCTTGTTGTGGGTGGATAGATGAGAACTTCCCTTAGATCCTTCCTTGAGATCCACTCATGAAATGTACTTTAGAATATCTCACACAAAGAAGCATCTCATAAGATGAAAGCTTTAGTAAGGATTTATTTTAGTGTAACAGGGTTAAAGTCAAGGGAAATAGAAAAAGAGAGAAATATTTCCTATTCCCCAAGCAGGAAATTTGGTGAGAGACTCAAATGGTGGTTCTTCCCTAACTTCTATTCTTAGCTGCTATGGGAATGCACCTAGTCCAGTGTGTCTGGCAACCCCTAATCCTGAGACAGTGATTTTGGGTGGGTAAGATGAGTGAGGCCCACCCAAAACCCCAAGTAACCTTTAGGACTAACATATACTTTTCTTTCTGTCTTTATCCATTTATGAATAGTTTGCAGATTTTTATCTAATTTTCCCGACTCTTCATCTATCCTACCTCATTCTGACACCAAATGTTTTGAGTTGTTATTCTGTATTTTGTTTGTTTTTCCTACATGACTCAATTCTTTCCCACCAACTGGGTACAGGCAGTTCAGTCCAATTCTGACATTTACCTAGATTTAGCATCAGACTCGACAGATGTATGAACTCAGTCCCATAGGTGACCCTTCAGATTCCAGTTGTAAAGCCTGGAGATCCACATCCAGGTATCTAACTCATGTCTAACCTCTCCTTAGGTTTGACAATTTACAGGAATAGCTGACATAACTCAGGAAGGTATTTAATGTGTGTGTGTGTGTGTGTGTGTGTGTGTGTGTGTGTGTGTGTGTGTGTGTGTGTGTGTGTGTGTGTGTGTGTGTGTGTGTGTGTGTGTAGGCAGCACCTCAAAAACAGCTAAATGGAAGAGATGCATATGGGCAAGATAGAGTAGGAGGGATACATAGCTTCTGTTTCTCCTCCAGCACAGATGTGTTTACCACAGAAGCTCTCTGCCTTTCACAATGCAAAACTTGTTTTCCTTTTCCTTCTTTTTTTTGTTCCATTACTACTAGTAGAAGCTTGTACTTAATACCTTGAGATCTTGCTTGACTTTTTCATCCAAGAATAGTGCTAATAGTTCTCTACCACTTGAACCACACCTCTACTTCTGGCTTCTTTGCTGGTTAATTGGAGATAACAGTATAGAGATTTTGTCTTCCCTGCCTGGCCTGGAACCATGATCTTCAGGTCTCAGCCTCCTTAATAGCTAGGATTACAGACATGTAAGCCTAGTGTCCTAGGCTTTCTTTGCTTAGAAGTATCATCACAGACATGATTGATACAATCAGTGACAGTTGGTCATTGAATTTAATTTCTAGTCTTCTGCAGTAGTGGATCAGAAATTAGAGCAGTGGAGGAGGAAGATGGGAAGATGGAGATGAGAAAGGGGATTGAAACACCCTCCCCTCAGGTGTTGGTATTTCAGCTGACCATCCCCTTTTCTGGTAGGGATCCAGGAACCCCAACCTGAGTTACCTGATGAATATAAAAACTCTGTGGTGTTCAGGATCTTTCTCTGAATAGCAGAAGACACTATGACATAGGAAATGTCAAAGGTTTTAGGAGGTCCATGCCAGGAACCTAGAGCAAGAATCATACCACAGGGAGCGCAGTCACAGATATGGATGCTGTAATTCTAGGTTTTGAGACTATTTAACTACCCCCAATAACATGGTCTAGTGGTTTGTTAGCGACCCTTACAGAATTGCAGGTTAGTGATGTGTGATGGTTGTGTGATACTTGGTATTTCTTCCAGGGACGGGACCAGAGGGCAGAATCATCAAGAAGGACATTGACTCTTTTGTGCCTTCTAAAGCTGTTCCTGTGAGTTATATTTGAAACTTACATTTACAAAATTTCTCCCGCAAAGCACTTTGTTTTCTCTATTAACCATTTTATAAATAATGCATGAATGAAATAATTTAACCAGAACTGGCATTATAGCAGTAAACCTCTATGCCTCACTGGTTTCTTTTCTTTTCTTTTTTTGTTGTTTCTTTCTTTCTTTTTGTTGATCATGGGGCCTGAACTTTGGGTCTGGGCGCTGTCCCTCAGCTCTTCAGCTCAAGGCTAGTGCTCTACCACTTGAGCCACAGTGCCACCTCTGGCTTTTTTCTGCTTATGTGGTACTGAGGAATTGAACTCAGGGCCTCATGCATGCAAGGCAAGCACTCTATCACTGATCTACTTTCTCAGCCCTGTTTTCTTTTCTTTTTGGTTGTTACTTTTGTTTAGTTTTGCAAGAGCAAAATTATTTTTACTTAAGCTAGTCATTGAATATATTCTGGCACAAAGAAGACGGGTGGTGATTAAAATGTGACTTTAGATTCTAAGTAATAAAAAGTTATTTAAAGTTCTTAAATATAAGCATTCTAATAATTCCACTATCCCTAGGAATAGAGCTAGCCATTCTGTAAAACTCTGATTTTTCTGTCTGACATGTTATATGTAGAGCAGATGTTTACGCTAAGATTGGGGCACAGTTATTAAGAATCTTTTTCTCCCCCATAGGCTGCAGCAGCTGCTATGGCTCCCCCAAGTCCAGGTGTGGCACCGGTTCCTACAGGGGTCTACACAGATATCCCAATCAGCAACATTCGTCGAGTAAGAACATTACCCTTTCTGGAGCAAGAACTGTTGGGCATCTTCCCTCTCTTTGGGTTCATACTGAAGCAGAGGTCTTTTCAGTTGGGAATATTAGATTATAGGTTTAAGGAAGTTTAGTTTGGTCAGTTAAGCAATGGGTAGACATTTAAATACTGGGAAGGAAGAAAGAAATGTGTGATAGTGAAATCTATTAGAATGTTTGAAGTTGTGCAGTCCTCATCGCTGTGTCTGATAATGTGTGGGTGAGCCTTGCCAGGGAGCAGACTGAATCACGTACAGCCTCCTCTCAGATCACGTTTACTGACTTTTGGATCTCTTTCTCTGCAGGTTATTGCACAGAGATTAATGCAATCCAAGCAAACTATACCTCATTATTACCTTTCTATTGATGTAAATATGGGAGAAGTTTTGTTGGTACGGAAAGAACTTAATAAGGTAAAACTTTTGGCAATTCTAATTTTCTAAATTATAGAAATAGTCTTCCACCACTGAACATTTTATTTTTGACTATAGATTTTGTTACAGTATGCTAGTTGAATATATATAGAAAATAACTCATTTTAACTTTAACTTTGAGAGAGAATCCTGGAGAATTCTCATCTTGCAACCTCATCTTGCAACTCTCATCTTGTTTAAAGCTTATCATTTTAAGTTGACTGAGCCATTGATAGATTTAGTTTAGTGAAATCAGTGTGATGCTGTACTCAGGTATTCTTTGGTAAGTGAGAAGCATGTTTATCGTCAGATGTCATGTACCTAGTTAGGTTTAGTAGCTTACAAGGACATAAGGCATAGTCCTCCTTCATTTAGAATCTAATTGGAGAGATGTAACATGTGCAAGGGAGGGAAGGCAATTGTTATGAAAGTGAAAATAAGTACTCATTTGTGGGTCAGTCTCTTTACGGTAAGGTGTAATTGTCTGCTGAGTGACACTGTAGAGTTTTGTTGAAGTGGAGACAATGGGGAGAGACCTATGAAAGTAGTTGGGAATTTCACAGTAGTATAGGGCAGACTTGTTGAGCTAAAGTGTTTGGATTGGCAGAGGTTGAAGAACGTTTATTGTAAGTATGGAGAATCAGTGCTTTAAAAATGGAAGGAATATAGCGTTTGTGGGGGATAGATTATTTGACATACACCATAAGCCAGTTTAAGGAAAACCTTGATTTATAAGAAAAGTTTGAACTTGATGATTTAGACACTAAATAAGAGTCTATTAATGTGTTTTTTAGTTGTTGTTTTTTTTTTTTTTTTGTTGGTTGTGGGGCTTGAACTCTGGGCCTGGGCGCTGTCCCTGAGCTCTTCAGTTCAAGGCTAGTGTTTTACCACTTGACCCAGAGCGCCACTTGCGTTTTTTTTCTGGTGGTTAATTGGAGATAAGAGTCTCATGGATATTCCTGCCTGGGCTGGATCCTCAGATCTCAGCTTCTGGAGTAGCTAGGATTACAGGCATGAGCCACTGTTACCCGGCAATTAATGTGTTTTTGGACAGTAAAGTAACAGGATAGCAGGATTTCAGAAAAGGCTAAAGTGATATATATATATATATATATATATATATATGGACATATAATAGCAAACACTAGTTTTGCTTCATTGTAAATAAAGCATGAAGTTATGTAATAAGTGCCTACATTAACAATGAAGTAGAAATCTGCACATGGTAATATATGTGTGCCTGTAGTTCTAGCACTCCGAGGCTAAGGCCAGAGGATTGTGAATTTAAGGCTAGCATAGGCTATATAGTGAGTCCCTGTCTCCAGAACAAACAAACAATCCCTGCATTTGATCCCCAGCAATACTGAAAACAGAAAGGGATATAGGAAAGGTTTTTTTCAAGGAAGTGAAAACTAAAAGCTGAATTTCTTGGAGTAGCCTACATGGAAGAATATGTCTGACCTCTCTGATCTCCTCTCCTACTGTTTTCCCAGTTGCTTTATTCCCCTGTAGGTGCTGTAATTGTCTTGTTACTCCTCCACACTCTGGCCCCAGGTCCCTTGTCTTTTTTTTTTTCTGTGGTGCCTCTAATATCCACATAGATTTTCTCCTTCCCCTCCTAAGGGTTTGACTCTATAGCTCTGTCTCTTATTTCCCCTATTCTAAAATTGCAACTTCTTCCCTCCTCCCTTCCTTAGTTTACCTTCCCTACTTCTTTTTATAGTTAGCATGATCTAAAGTATTATGTCTCATTCATTCATTATTTCCCCTCTCTTTCCCCCTGTCCCCCAGCCACAGTTAAATGAGAGTAGGACTTTATCCATTTTGTTCAGTGCTTCATACTTAGAGCTTTGGCATTATATGCCCAGCCTGGAGTCGACCCTCACATATAAGTCATGTAACTGAATTCTGTTCCACTCATTTGTTGAGTCCTCCCCTCCCCTTTCTTCCCCTCCCCTCCATTATTTCCCTTTTTGCCCGCCCACCCACCCTCCTTACTTCCTTCCCTCCTTCCTTTCCCTCCCTTCCTCCCTTCCCCCTTCTCTCTTTCTCTCTCTCTCTCTCTCTTTTTTCTTTTTCTTTTTTTTTGCTCAGGGATAGTGCTCTGCCACTTGAAACACAGTTCTACTTTGAGCTTTCTTGGTGCTTAATTGGAGATAAGAGTCTCACAAACTTTCCTTCCCAAGGTGCTGCTTTGAACTATCATCTTCAGATCTCAGCCTCCTGAGTAGCTAAGATTACAGGTGTAAGCCACTGATTCTCAGCCTCCACCTTTTTTTTTTTTTGCCTAATTGCTCTGGTTAGCATCTCTAATATAATACTGCAATGAATAGAGTAGCAAGAGTGGATAACCTTGTCTTGTTCTTGATCCTAGTTCGTAACTGTTAAGACTTACATTAAACAAAGTGAAAGAAGCAACTTTAGATTTCATTTTGCTCTTTTTACCTCACAATATTTGTGTATTTTCATTTCCATAGTGTCTTTCTTAGGATTACAGTCTGGTTCATTTCGGGGGGAGAAAATTTAAGAAAACTATGACCATTTCTTGTCTTCACAGATTTTAGAAGGAAAAAGCAAAATTTCTGTCAATGACTTTATCATAAAAGCTTCAGCTCTGGCATGTTTAAAAGTTCCTGAAGCAAATTCTTCATGGATGGACACAGTTATAAGACAGTAAGTAAAACTGGAGAAGCTACATATCAATCTTTATGTTTTTCATCCCATCTAATGTGTAATTAGGAGCTAAAGGGAGAGATGACAGTCATTGGTAAAATAGTTTGAAAATAACACAAGAACACTTGTAAGATAGTACTAAATTCAGTTTGTAAAGACTACAAGTTCTCTGAGTTCAGTGAAGAGAGCAATGTAAAAATAGTCTAATTAAGCTAGTAACAACTCTTACAAAGCAAGGTGAAATAAATGGGCTTTCAGAGCAATGTTGAGTACAGTATTTGTTAATACTATGGTGACATCTGTCATGGTGCTTTGTGTCACATGTTTTCATTTAGTTCTTTTTCTTTTCTTTTCTTGCCATTCCCAGGGGTTGAACTCATGGTCTGGGCACTGTCCCTGAGCTTCTTTTGCTCTACCACTTGAGCCACAGCACCACTTTTGGCTATTTCTGTGTATGTGGTACTGAGGAATCGAACCCAGGGCTTCATGCATGCGAGGCAAGCACTCTACCACTGAGCCACCTTCCCAGCCCCAGCCTGAGTATTTTCTTGTGTGTAGATTAATGCTTTTTAAAGTTTTATCATCATTCTCATCTATTTGGGAAGAAAAACAAAACCCAAATGAGTTTTCCTTCCTGCTGTGCTCTCACATGCTCATGCCGCCTCTGTGGCCGGTTGTGTGCACATGCTGGCGGAGACCCCTGTGTAGGAGCCAGTTCATTTCACTGTCCCTGGAGCCCACAGACTGGGGGCTGAGCAGGCTCACGGGACTGCCCCACTTCAGGTTAAACTCTGTCCCCTTTAGGCTAAACTCTGACCAAATGGGCTGCAAACTCAAGTCCCCATGACACTGTCTTTGGGTTTGATTTATTAGGACAGGAAAATACTAGATGTAGTGAACTGCCTTGCTGTAAAAAATATGGCAAAGGATATAGATGAATTGCAGGTAAAGAAATGGTCAGGGTGAGGGCTGGTGGTCAAACTAACATGTTGTCTCTGGGCATACTACCTGCATTTTAGTAACTTAATGGGATAGAAATTTCTAAAATTGAATATGTTTTTGTAAAGCCTGGAGACCATCTATATAAGACCATTTATATAAGACATATTTTGAAGAAAATATGTCATATAAATACAATGGTAATACAACTTTTATTAACTAAATTTTTAATTGTGCTTATGAAAAGACATATAGTATACCATGGATACAATAACCTGATTTTAATTATTAAGGTAGGAACTATATATATTTACTAAGTAATATTCTAAATTTATGTTTGTATTCTTACAAAAGTTCTACATTATTTCTCAAAATGGTTGCATCCATTGCACCTCCAATGGATGAGGATTCCAGTTTGTCCAGTCCTCACCAACACTTGTTTTTTTTTTTTTAATGAGCACATTTCTTTTTTTTTTTTTCTTGGGTTCGGTCATGGGACCTGAACTCTGGGCCTGGGCGCTGTCCCTCAGCTCTTCAGCTCAAGGCTAGCACTCTACCACTTGAGCCACAGCGCCACTCCCGGCTTTTTTCTTTTTGCTTATGTGGTGCTGAGGAATCAAACCCAGGGCCTCAGGCATGCAAGGCAAGCACTCTACCACTGAGCCACCTTCCCAGCCCCTCACCAAAGCTTGTTAATGTGTTATATGATTTAAATAGCTATTTAGAAGTATATGAAGTAAGAGCCATCTGCTTTTAGGACTATGCAGTGCGGAAAAAAATACTCTTAACTGGAAGGATCAAGGGCATGGCAGGTTCTGCGAACTATTGATTCTTACAAAACGCCTTTCATTCTTACAGCTATTCAAATACTGAACACAATGTTTGCTGGATTCAATGGTGAACAAGGCAGGGAACACAATGTTTTATCAGAAGGCAGTTTACTAAAATCTATTGTGGGGCTGGGAAGGTGGCTCAGTGGAAGAGTGCTTGCCTTGCATGCATGAGGCCCTGGGTTCAATTCCTCAGCACCACATAAGCAGAAAAAGTTGGAAGTGGCAATGTGGTTAAAGTGGTAGAGTACTAGCCTTGAGCTGAGGAGCTCAGGGACGGTGCCCACGTCCAGAGTTCAGGCCCCCACTGACAATAAAATAAAATAAAATCTATTGTGAAAGGATGATTTTTTGAGCCATATTTTTATTTTCATTTCATAGATAGTTGTACATGTTTATGTGGTACAGTATGGCATTTCTTTTTGTTGAGAATATTCTAGCTATTTTAAAACATCCACTTATTGTGATAATGGTATAGTTTAATAAGAAAGTAGTATTTGCCTGGCACTAGTGCTCATACCTATAATCCTAGCTATTCAACAGGCTGAGATCTAAAAACTGTAGTTGAAAGCCAGCCTGGGCAGACAAATCCAAGCGACTCCTATCTTCAATTATTAGCAAAAAAACTAGAAGTAGAGTTGTGACTCAAGTGGTAGGGTACGGCTAAGGGAGAGTGAGACCGGGAGTTCAAGCCCCACTACCAGCACAAAAAAACAACTCTTCCCCCCCTTCTCCCCCCCGCCCCCAAACCTCAGTGTTGATTATTTGATTTATTTTTTCTTTCTTTTTTTTAAACAGAAATCATGTTGTTGATGTCAGTGTTGCAGTCAGTACTCCTGTAGGCCTCATCACGCCCATTGTGTTTAACGCACACATAAAAGGACTAGAAACCATTGCTAATGATGTTGTTTCTTTAGCCACCAAAGCAAGAGAGGGTAAACTGCAGCCACATGAGTTCCAGGTAAGACACTGGAAGGATTTTTTTTATGGGGGGGGGCTTTTTATTGGTTTGTGGGACACTGTTCCACTATGTAGCTTAGTCCTGAAAAGAAAGAACAATGAAGTCACACATCAAAAGCTGAAAAAAAGATACTATCCAACTATCAGTACAAATAACTGGCTTTTGTTTAGATTGTATTGGTTATTTTCCTTTTTTTTTCAGTAATATGTATTCTATTCAGGCCTTTCTTAATACAAAGTAAAAGATTATCTTAAGGCATTTTCCCAGAGCATTTCTTTTTTTTGGGGGGGGGGGTCTGGTTGTGGGGCCTGAACTCTGGGCCTGGCGCTGTCCCTCAGCTCTTCAGCTCAAGGCTAGCGCTCTACCACTTGAGCCACAGCGCCACTTCCAGTTTTCTGGTGGTTAATTGGAGATAAGAGTCTCATGAACTTTCCTACCCAGGCTGGCTTTGATCAACTATCCTCAGATCTCAGCCTCCTGAGTAGGATTACAGGCGTGAGCCACCAGTGCCTGGCTGATTTTTTTTCTTTTTTTTTTTCCAGTATCCTAGTCCAACTCAGAGCCTTACTAAGTTGCTTAGCCTGCTTGCTCATGGCTGATGCTCTACCATGTGAGCAATGCCTGCAGTCCAGGTTTTTACAAGTTTTGATTGGAGATGACGTTTCATTGTCTTTGTTGCTTGGCTGGTTTTGAACCTTGATCCTTTTATCTAACCGTCCGGAGTAGTTACGATTACAGTTGTGAGCCTCCAATGCCCAGGCTAATATTCAATCTTTCTTCCTTTAGGGTGGAACTTTTACAATCTCCAATTTAGGAATGTTTGGAATTAAAAATTTTTCTGCCATTATTAATCCACCTCAAGCATGTATTTTGGCAATTGGTGCTTCAGAGGATAAACTAGTTCCAGCAGACAATGAAAAAGGGTAGGTGCCTAAATGGAGAGGGAGTTACAAGCTCATTTTCATTACATTATGCTTAGTCTTGTGCATCTGCTTTACCAAGTTACTGGCATGGGTATTGGAATTTCAGGTAGAGTCAAATGTAAATGTGGTTTGATAGTCTGTTGGGTATTGTTTATCTGGGGTCAGATTTTTTGGGAGCATTTAAATCTAGATTAGAGTTTGGTTGTGTTGAGACACTGCGATGTTAACACTTGTCTATCAATTGAAAAAAAATTGAGATTGCTAGGCAGGGGAGGTTTGGAGAGGACTAGTTTTTCAGAGAAAACTATGGGTGAGAGAAATCTAATGTACTGAAGAAGGATGAAAAAGAGAATAAGTAATGACTGCAAAGAAGGAAACAAATGAGCTGGGCGCCAGTGGCTCACGCCTGTAATCCTAGCTACTAAGGAGGCTGAGATCTGAGGATCGCAGTTCAAAGCTAGCCCATTCAAAGCCAGCCCCGGCAGGAAGGTCCGTGAAACTCTTATCTCCAATAAACACTCAGAAAACCAGAAGTGGTACTGTAGCTCAAGTGGTAGAGTGCTCACCTTGAGCTGAAGAGCTGAGGGACAGTGCTCAGGCCCAGAGTTCAAGCCCCATAACCAACAACAAAAAAAAAAGAAACAAATGAGGGTGAGAGACCTTGTGTCCTCACCACTGAAGAAAATCAAGTTGAGAATCTGCATCAGACACCCTAAACATTAATTATTGCCTACTCTTAAAAAGCTTGTCAGTTGTAGGTATTCCCCTGTTTAAATACACCATTAGTTTTGGGTGGAGAAGGGTATTGTGATGAAGAAAAGATTAGGTATATTTGTTAACTAATGAGTAATTCAGTTCTAAGAGTCAATATGAGCCAATGCAAAATAACACTAATGGAAACAAAAGTGCTCAAAACAAAACCACAAGATAACACAATATAAGGTAAAAAACATAGAGCCCCACAGTTTCATAGACTTTAAACTAGAAGTTTTAAATCATGGATTGGTATTTCCCTATCTAAATTTGTCTCCACTTTTGTTTGGGGAGGGGTATTATGGTATAGAAAGGAGATTATATCAACTGGGTGATCAATCAAACCCAGAGAACAAGCTATTAGTAAGGCTCCCCAAAAAGTTAAACCAAAAGGTTTTCCAAATGGGCAGAATATTCATATAAATGCAAGAAAAATGGCAAGTCAAGAAAGCTTAATTCCCACAGAAAATAACCAGGCAATAAAAAAGACAATGAAGGACTTAGAAGATAGTTCTCAAAATGCTTAAAAAATACTGCTGATAAAAATATGATTAATGAGGAGATAGGAAGCCTACACAAGGCAAGTTGTGAGGGTGGTGAAACTAAATATTATTAGAATTCACAGAATTCTTCTAATTCATGTAGAATTCATTCTACAAACCTTAATGAATTCCAAGAGAAGGAAAAAGGAGTCCAATGAGGCAATAGTCACTCAGCTAAAGGATATGATAGAAGACACAGATAAACAAATTAAGGAAATGAAGTCCACACAGGACCTAAAAAAATTCCATAGAGATTGAAACCATTACAAATGAACAGTTAGATGGCAGAAAAATAAAAAACAGAGTAGAAAGTCTTGACAGCAGAATAAATGATGTGGAAGACAGTCTCAGGGATCAAAGATTGATTAGATATAATAGAGGAAGAGGAGACAATTTTCCAGAACAAATCCAAGAAATAAGAAGCTTGTAAGAACTTCCAGATTCAGTCAAAAGGCCTAATTTAAGACTAAGAAGTATTGAGGAAGGAAAAGAGTAGGCAATTAAAGGGATAGGACGAATTTAACAGAATTCTAACAGAACTTCCCAAACATGCAAATGTAAATAAATGTGGAATGAAATTCCTCAGGGCAACAACTTTTATGAAATGAAGTTAATCCTGTTTGAAGTGGGATTCTCTTTGAGATTTACTTAGATGAGAAGGCAACATTTTTTTTTTTAAAGAGATAGTAAATATTTTAGTTTTCTGGACCATATGGTCTTCATTCTACATACCCCACCATTAAAATATGCAAGCAGGCAAAAAAATGGTAAATACTGTGTAAATGAAAAGCTTTCTCTATAAAAAGAGGCAGAGGGCTGGATTGGACCAGGTTGTATAGCTTGTCACATATCTACTACCTGCTACCTGGTATGTTTAGCTCTTTGAACTGAAGATACAGGTAACACTAAAAGTAGGAGGAAAGTAATATTACCTGGGTGGGATTAAGGGCAGGATCAGGATTGATTAGCTAAAATCCATCTTTTCAGAAAATCTAATGTTTTGTTTTCCTTTTCTAGATTTGATGTGGCTAGTATGATGTCTGTTACACTCAGCTGTGACCATCGAGTTGTGGATGGAGCAGTTGGTGCCCAGTGGCTTGCTGAGTTTAGGAAATACCTGGAGAAACCTGTAACCATGTTGTTATAATTTACTGAAGAACTTCTAGACTCCCAAGTCACTTTGGTTCATTCTTATCAAGATATTTATATGTTATTAAACAGGTGGTTCTTTGAAAGTTTAACTAGTTATTTTTATTATTGAATCTATCCATATGCATTGTTTGTAATGGGCATTACAGAATGTTTTTTAATGTCAGTTACATACAAATATTGTGTACATTTAATGTCAGATTTTCATTTGTGCACTCCTAGTCAAGAGAGACACATGGCCTTGTTCTTTAAGCGATATGTATTTGCACTAGGATACAGAATAGATAGGATGTGGCTCCCTAGAGACCAGTGTGCGGAGGGATCGCAGATGTAAGTAACCTTGCCTTTCAAATTGCGTACATGTGAGAGCAGGAAGTTAGAAAAATTGCTTCTCTTGGGGGAAAGGCTAGGGTTTGAATTTTGGAATTTAACCCTGATGCTTCTATAACATGATTATGGTTTGTCACACATGGGAGTGGTAGAGAGCTTCAAGGAGACTGAAATTTTTACGGTCCACATTTTCCTAAGCTTCCTCAATCAACTGTCTTTTAAAATGAGTTCTACATAAATGATTGTTTTTCTTAAGGACAAATGGTAGTGGATATGTGGCTCAAGTGCTGAAGTGCCAGCCATGAGTGAGAAAGCTCAGTGAGGGCTGGAGCTTGAATTCAAGCCCCAGAACTAGCATCAGCAAAAAAAAAAGATAATAAAAATTTAAGTCCGCTTCTTGATAGAACACCTTATGTATTTATTTAAGCAGCTTAAATGTGTGATTCTGAGAGAACTCTGTAGTTAATTCCAAATAAAAGGACATGCTTATAGAATTGAAGTTCTGGGGGGTAGAGGTTTCCAAGATTGACTGAACGTTAGCTGTAAATGAACTTACCAGAATTTATTACTTATATAACCTGAGAACTCTATGAAATAACTGTGGAGTAAATGTACATAATGTAAAATAGGATTACTAGAGTTGGATATGTGCCAAAGTCTTATTAGCACCAAATCTTGCTGGAAGTGGGGAACACTGGTAAATGGCTTGGAATTCTAGCGGAACTCCCAAGCCAGGCACCAGCACTTATCCTGTCTCCTTAAGAGCTAGAGTCCAGAGGATCTTGGGCACAGGTGCTCGAGGCCAGCCCAGGCAAGATAGCAAAGCTCCATCTCAAAAACAAAGCAAACATTAAAAACAAATGATGCCCAAAACAAAATGGTAATTTCTTGTTGGAAAAAAAAATCTTAAAAAATAGTGAAAAGTATATAAAAATCATTGTTTCTCTTCCCAAGCATTGCCTTAACTAAGATATCCCTAAAATCCTTTTGGAAAGACAAACTTCTTCCCATTTTACTATGTTTGCCTTTTAGAGGAATGAAGGAGGTGATATCAGGATCATCAGAATGAACTGGGAACATTATCACAATTCCAGACTTTCTACTGAGCTGATATGTTTTAATGAATGTGTGGGATTATTTATGACTATTTCAAATAAACCTTGTACTTGTACCATATGGAGCTGTCCCCTGCCCTTGCTTTTAAGTGGTTCAGCACAGAATCCATCTTTCTACATGTTCGTTCTCCCAAGTACTCCTCATGACGAACAATTCAGAACATCCATCTGATTTTTTGGTAGTTAGTATTTTTAGGTTGAACTGGAAATTATGAAAAAAGAATTAGCTCATCATGAGAGGGCTGTCCTTATTGTGAGCTATATATGGTCCCAACAAGTCAATCTGCAAATAAAATTCCTTACTAATGTTTATGGCTCTACTGTTACCTTGAAAGAAAAATAAAACAGTTGCCATCTAATGCAAATTGTGGACTTAAGAGTTAATCTCAGCTATGGTTCAAATAAGACTTTAAAACTTAAATGTTTTCAATGTGTCTTGAAGAATCTTATTTTTTTCATCTTAAAAAATGAATGTTAAGTGTCAGCTTTGTGCTTATAAACTCTCAGTACATACAAATTTTTGGCTGGACTGGTAGGCAGAGACCGGTGGATTGCAGTTCAGCCCCTGTAAAACGTCGAGATCCTTTTGCATAAGCTGGCTGTGGTGACCCACCCCTACAATCTCAGCTACTTAAGAGGTAGGAGTACCTTAATAACTCAAGGAGCCATGGTACTTATTCCCAAAATAGGAGTCATCTAGCTCTGTTAGATATTTAAAGGACTAGGTGAAGTTCCTGGATCCAAGGACACGGTTTGCACAACTATTAGGCCATCATGTGAAAGTTGAAAGTAATGGTCATCAGTAGTACAGGAGTTCTCGGACACCTGGGGAAATTGCCACTAGTGACAGGAATATGAAACTGGTTAAATTCAGCCAGGTGCTAGTAGCTCACACCCGTAATTCTAGCAGCTCAGGAGGCTGAGAGCTGAGGATTGAGGTTCATGGTCATCCTGGGCAGGAAAGTCCTTGAGACTCTAATATACCACCAAAAAGCCTGAAGTGGAGCTATGGCTCAAGTAGTAGAGTACTAAGCCTTGAGAAAAGCCAGACAGTAACCAGGCCCTGATTTCAAGATCCAGCCCCTTCTACCATCGCCACAAAAACAAGTTGAAACTTAAAACTAGTATGTACTTCATTTTTAATGTTTTTCCTGGACGGTGTTTTGCTTTTTGTACAGAGGTCATTATTAATGAAAAAAAAACATTAAAAATAAATACAAGGGGCTGGGAAGGTGGCTCAGTGGTAGAGCGCTTGCCTTGCATGCATGAGGCCCTGGGTTCGATTCCTCAGCACCACATAAGCAAAAAGAAAAAAGTGGGAAGTGGCGCAGAGGCTCAAGTGGTAGATCGCTAGCCTTGAGCTGAAGAGCTGAGGGACAGCACCCAGGCCCAGAGTTCAGGCCCCACTACTGGACCAAAATAAACAAGTAAACAAATAAATAGATACAAGTGGCTCATGCCTGTAATCCTAGCTACTCAGGAACTTGAGATCTGAGGATTGCCATTCAAAGCCAGCTGGGGCAGGAAAGTCTGAGACTCTTATCTCCAATTAACCCTCAGAAAATCACAAGTGTTGCTGTGGCTCAATGTGGTAGAGCACTAGCCTTTAGTGGAAAAAATTCGGAGGAAGTGCCCAGGCCCTGAGTTCAAGGCCCATGACCGACTAATTAAAAAGTATGGATAGGGGCTGGGAATGTGGGAGTGCTTGCCTTGCATGCATGAGGTCCAGGGTTTGATTCTGCAGCACCACATAAGCAGAAAAAGCCAGAAGTGGCGCTGTGGCTCAAGTGGTAGAGCATTAGCTTTGAACTCAGGCTGAAGAGCTGGGACAGTGCCCAGGCCCGGGGGGGGGGGGGGGGGGGGGGGGTAGGGAAAGGTGTAGATAATTTGGAAGTTAATCAAAGTTTAACACTGGGGGGGGGGGTGCGAGGGTGCAGTATGCTTTTGATTGGTTATTTTGGAAATGGAGCCTAGTGGCCTTTTCTGTTCAGGTTGTCCTCAAATCTTGATTCCAGTTCTCAGTCTCTAAACTACAATTTCAGGCCTGAGCCACGGGCACCCAGCCTCAAGTTTAACATTATATTGGAAGTATTTTATTAATAAGTACATAAACATAATGGAAACATCTACATATTGAAGGTAAAAGTAGAAATTCAGCTTTATGTGGTCATTATGTAGAGAGATATCTGGGAAATAGAATTTGGCTCTGTTGGTGAAGGCATGCCTGTGTTTCTGAGGAATGAAACAAGGGTAAGTTTTAGTTTCAGCCTTAAAAAAATAAATTATTGCTAGAAGAATTCAAATGTACTTCAGGTTTAAGATTTTATTTGCTTTTATATATAATAAATTATTCTATTATACATGAACATTACTTCCTAAAGGCTTGGTTTATAAATTTTATGTTGAAGTATACATTAATAATTATAAGAAAGTTATTTTTTTTAATCTAGAAAAGGCAAAGTGATGTTTAAAGCGTGATGTGTATAGTGCTACCCTGGGATGTAAATTGGATAGATGGTACATTTGTCTTTGACAAAAACCTTGCAGGAGATGGAAGCTGAGCATTAATTTCTCTAGGAGAAAAGTATTTGTCCCAAATTAGCTCAAATTTGCATATGTTGTGCCAAAACATCAATTGCTGTACTGTATCCAGTTCACAGAAAAGTCCTACTGATGTTAAAAATCAGACTCATGGCAGAGGTGTCTTATTGAAATGTAGTTTCCTAGAAGCAGATTGGTCCTATGTGTGAAATGCTGGAGGAAGCTTATTGCTACAGCCCATCCTGGTGATAGCAAACTTTCTGTAGGTCTGGGATTTTTTTTCTGATGAAGAATGCTAGAGATCTTTTTTTTTTAAGTAGCAAACCAAGAGTTCCCATGTGTTCCTTAAAAACAATTAGAATTTTCCCAAATGACATGTCTTAGGATTGGTCAAAGTATATGTAAGATAAATAACTAATTTTTTGAAATCCTACTCTTTCAGAGTTTCTGGTTAATATCAAAACTTAGGAGAAAAAGTAGTTAAAAGTAGTTTCAGCTGAAGGGATAAATCTCATTCTATCAAAGGGATCTCTCAGAAAATACAGAATTTGGGCTGGAGTTGTGGTTCAAGTGACAGAGTACTTGCCTTGTAATTTGTATGATCTCATACAGAAAAAATATAAAAGAAATTGCTTATAATAAAAATTAAAAATCCAAAACATCAAGCTGTTGTTTTCAATGGCATTGTGATGATTAATGTAGATTTGTCTTTGATAAATTTTGCTGTTGTCATTTCAGTATCAACAGATTCTGGAAGATTCAGGTGTAATTGGTATTTCTCCGAGACCATGATTAGTAAATCATCCTAAGAATAACAAGATATTTTAAGAACATGAGAACTAATTTTAAAAAAGTTGTGCTATTAAATTTCTGCTTTTTTCTCCACAGTAATTACTGAGTTCAAGTTTTCACTTAGGTAGGAGGATCCTGTTTTCTTGTACAAGTTACTGGGGCTTGAGCTCAGGGTCTGGATGCTGTCCCTGAGCTTTTGAGACACAGCTCCACTTCTGGCTTTTGGTGGTTTAATTAGAGATAAAAGTCTCATGGACTTTCCTGTCCAAGGTAGCTTTGAACAATGATCTTCAAATCTCAGCTTCCTGACTAGCTAGGATTACAGGCCTGAGCACTGGCATCCAGCTGTTTTGAGATTTTTATTGCTGCATAACACATCAAATGTTAAATGACATTGTTCCAAGAGTAGTGTTGTCATCCTGAATTATGTGGTACAATCGTTGGAGTTAACTAGCAAAAGGACAAGGAAATGGAGTAGGGGCTGAAAGCTATTAGGGGATGTGTGATCTGATAAAGCCCCAAGAAACTAACAATGGTTTGGGAGGCAAATAATGTACTTAGGTAATTTGTGACTGGAGTCTGGCGTGTGAATGGAGTGTCTAGTGTGAATGGAGTGTCTAGGCGAAGGAGTGGGACATAGAATGTTGCTATTATGTGTGCTCCCGTTGGATACATTTCCTTTTTCTGAAGTGAGGTTAATTATTATCTTCTCCCTATTCCACAATGTATCACGGATAGGGTTTGGGCACTTGTCTTGACAGGTCATTGATCTGTGGTTGAAAGGACATAGAGGGTTGGGATGTAGCTCAGTGGCAAAGCCTTTGCCTAGCAAGTACAATGTCTTAGGTTGAATCCCCAGTACCTAAAAAGAAAAAAATACAGCTAAAAAACCCCCAAACAAACAAACAAAAATACCCTTAGCAGGTATTGGTGGCTCACGCCTGTAATCCTAGCTATTCAGGAGGCTGAGATCTGAGGATCATGGTTTCAAACCAGCCTGGGCAGGAAATACCATGAGATTCTATCTGAAATTAATCATTCTACTCAAGTGGTAGAGTGTTATCCTTGAGCAAAAGTTCAGAGACATTGCTCAGGCCCAGAGTTCAAGTCCCAGGACTGGCAATATATATGTATGTGTGTGTGTATATATATATATTTACACACAAACACACACACACACACACACACACACACACACACATATATATATATATATAATCTATATAAAAATTGGCAAAAATATATTTTAGAGTTTGTTACTGTGATGAGGGGTGCTTCCTTGAGAAAACCAGCAAAATATCTGTGACCAAAAGGACAGACTGTGGCTGACTAGGACTGCTCCCAAATACCTGCTCTTCTGTAAGACAAGAGGATTGCATATCCTTGCTATCTGGCTTCCCATGAATACCTGTGAGAGTATACTTCCAAGTCCCATTCATGTAAGACTTGGCCTTCTCAGAAGTGATACATGCTGTATCTCAGTTGAAGTTTTAGATCCATTGTATGGGCTTGTCATTTCTGTTTTCACTCTACAGTGAGTGAGAAAGACCTATATCTCACATGTTCAGAACTGTTCCTTCACCTCGGCCTAAGGATCTGTAAGACTCATGAAGCAAAGTGGCCTAGCTAGTGTGTAACATGAGTAAATAATTATAAGCCCTAAAGTGCTGGAGTTTATTACTACTACAGTATAGTAGTGTGTAATGACAGATACAAATTTTCTGTATCGTTAGTCTTCTGTACCTGGAGGTTCCACATTTGTGGGAGGATTTAACTTATTTGGGATTAGAAATGTAGTAATGTTTACAATGGTTGTATCTCTACTGGTGTAAACTTGTAATTTAAACAACAGTCCAATGTAACTCAGTCTAGTTTGGATCTTAGGTACCACCCAAAGGTCCATGTGGTAAAGGCTTGCTCTCTTCAGAGGCACTATTACAGTTAGGTGATAGAACTGTTAGGAAGTAGGGTTCACCGAGAGGTCTTTAGGTCATTGGGGAGTGTGCACCTGAAGTGGATTGTGGGACCCTGGTCACTTCCTTTCTCCCTGGCCATGGTGATAAGTGGTTTTGCTTTGCTATGCACTCTTGCCATGATATGTTGCCTCAGATTGGCCTAAAATCAATGGGGCCAACTGACTATGGGCTGGAACCTCTGAAATCCCCCTTTTTGTTTATAAATTGATGATCTTCCACAGTTGTTAAAATGGAAAGTGAACTAAATAACCATATGTATTGGATTTACATATATAACTAGGCACTATAAAGTCTTTGGGGATATGGGCACAGATTATTTGCAAATACTGTGTGGCTTTATATACAAGACTTATGCATCCATGGGTTTTGGTATCTTCAGGGGTTCCTGAAAACAAATCTCCAGGGATACTGGAAGACTACTGTATGGTCTATTCCACTGACCTCAGAAACATGAAGGTCACAGAGAGAGGCTGAATTAACACCAGGTAATTCAACTTTCAATTCAATTTTCAGAGGTTTGTCATTCTGATCCTTTACAATTTTTAATTTATAGGCTGGAATCTTCATGTCTGCCTGGATTTCAGTGCTAGAAAGCTCCTCTATAAGAGGTTTGCCTGAAACTTGGTCTTTTGGCAGCAGCAATTGAGGACAGAGATCTGGACTGCTCACAGCGCTGGTTCTTATTTCTCCAAGAGTATTTTCTGTACAGAAAAGAGACAGGAGAGAGCAAATCACAAAATGCTCTGTCTGTGATATAGAAGGATGCACAAGTGTTTCATACGAAATGACAGTATTTGCAAATAACCTTGCCCATTTCCCCATATAATGTATACTGTGTGTATGTGAATATATGTGTATATATATATATGTAGATACATTCATACATGTATTTCTATATACATATATAATATGACTTGGAAAATATGCTTGGCTATGGTTACATAAGTTTGGAAATACTAATCAAAAGAATCCTAAATGAAGCTGGGGATATAGATTAGCAGTAGAACTCTTGCCTAGTAGTGGAGGTCCTAGGTTGGATTCATCCCCCAGCACATCAACAAAACACACAAACCCCATCACCACCACCACCAAAAACTCACAAAATATAAAACGACTTAAAGAATTTGATTGAAAAAAAAAAACATTTATGGAGGATTGGGGGCAGGGCTTCAGTGCTAGTGTACCAATTGGGAATGAGAAAGCTGGGGAAGGGGGGCTGGGAAGGTGGCTCAGTGGTAGAGCGCTTGCCTTGCATGCATGAGGCCCTGGGTTCGATTCCCCAGCAACATGAGCAAAAAGAAAAAAGCCGGAAGTGGCGCTGTGGCTCAGGTGGTAGAGCGCTAGCCTTGAGCTGAAGAGCTGAGGGACAGTGCCCAGGCCCAGAGTTCAGGTCCACTACCGGACCCAAAATAAAAAAGAAAAAGCTGGGGCACATAGGAGGTCCTGAGTTTAAGCACTGGTACCACCAAAAATCAAACTGTTAAAAAAAAGATGGGTATTCTTAACACTTCCGAAAATTGAAATTTTATATTTTTCTTAAGTTTCTTATCTTTTGAGAGAGTTCTAGATTGCAAACTTTACATAGGTTACACAATAATGAAACTGGTTTAATTCTGAACTCATATTCAATAACTTACCCTTCCTCATTTTCTCTCTTAAGTCTGTGAAGTCACTAGTCTTTAGTCTCATCAGATTTTGCTTCATTCTTTGAACGCTTCCTTTCATTTTAAATTTGGTAATATGGTAAGAGTGCGAGAGGGTGATCTCGAATCTTTGCTCGATGCATTCCATGGCCATCCTTATTAACTGATCTTTTTGCACTTGGTCCTCTTCTGCTTCCTGTAGAACTCCAGGGTTGTAGGCAACATTGATGACTGTATAAGCATCTGTGTGTAACCCAGAGAGTGTGAAGTGAGCCCATCTGTTAATGATATTGACAGGTCATATATGAAACCATATTCCTGATGAAGATACAATTCAAAGGCAATGACAGTGGCATTATATACACAAAATTCCAATTAAGGCATGGCTGGTATTTTTACACAGGTTCAAAGCAGCTCATTATTAGAAAAACTGAACAATATTATATTTTTCATGAAGGTAGACCAGTTTGTCATTAACTGTGTTACCACTAAAGAAAATCTTTTACTTGAAATTCAAACCCAACTAAAACCTAATCCATGCTTATTCTAAATAAAATAATAAAAATGTGTTCTCTCCTTTAATTCTTTGTACCTGATGCCTCAGAGATATCTTCTGGTCTGCCAACACTTATAGGTACTGGGTGAGTAGCTGACTGGGGAGCAGGGATCCTTTTCCACTGACACAGGTTGATATAAAGTAGTTTTTCTTTTGGTTTCTGGAAAAGTGAATCATTTTAATAGCTCAAAATTCTAGGTTTTTAGAAAAGTTTTAAGATAATATCTTAAAAGCAACTCTTTTTTTCCATTTCCTGGAATTCGGTTCATAAATACATGATCAGAAGAAAAGCAACTCTCTACCGGATGGGAAAAGGGAGAGTTTTTTTTTTAAATTGTATTTTGACTTGTGGTGCTAGTGATTGAAACTAGAGCCTTACAGATGCTAAGCAGGTGCTCTACTACTGAGCTACATTCTCCAACCCAGAAGAGGCGAATTAGAGATGCTAGATGATTCCAAATATTAAAACCGTGCTTGAGATTCCCCAAGGTTGTTGGCTTATCATCATGAATCTGACTTCTGCCCCTTTCCTCTGGAAAAGACAGGAGAAAGGGTTGCATGTTGTTGTTCTACCAGATATAGCTGACTATTTCACCACTGCATGATCTCTCCAACTCCATGATTCTTTATCAAATCATTATGCCACTTTTCCTTTTCCTTCTACCAGTAAGAAATGACTCATTTTGACATCTTTTTTTCACCCAGTGCTGGGGCTTAAACTCGGCCTGGGCACTGTCCCTGAGCTTCTTTTGCTCAAAGCTAGTACTCTACCACTTGAGCCTCAGCACCACTTCCAGCTTTTTCTGTTTATGTGGTACTAAGGAATGGAACCAGGGCCTCATGCATACAAGGCAAGCACTCTACCACTGAGCCACCTTCCCAGCCCCTTGACAAAATATATTCTTACTAGTTCAACAAATCACAAAACACTGAAATTTCATTTTTTTAACAGAAGCAGTTTCCGCCAAGTTTTCTTGTGTTACAGTAGCAATAGTCGAGGGTCAGATATTCCCCACTTATCCTAGAAGCCCATTCAGTGCCTCCCGATCCCTTAAAGCAATTCTACATACGAGAATCCTGGTCCGTAGACAAAGCTGTGGTTCTGGGCCAGCAGAGAGCTCTTTCCCCTCTTTCAGTTCCTGTTGAATGAAGTTCTTATAACACTCAGGGTCATTTTCAGCTAAATCATCTAGGAGGTTCCAGAATTGAGTAAGCTGGGACAGTAGACCCTTTGAGGATGTCTCCATGATTAGTGGTGAAACAGGCTGCTGTGGAAAGATGTTAATTAGAGGGGGAAAAGTTTATTGATTAGTTTTTTAGGGGAGGAGGAATGGTTGAGGAATTGTGTCTAAAGGATTGGTGTTCCGAACTGCTTTATCTTTATCTTATTGATGATATTCTATAACTAACAACCCGTCTTAAATTACCAAGTTGTCCTCTCAGATGAAGCCTTCACTCTGTTGGAAGCTTCACAAACCCCAAGGGAGCAGAGCAGTGGTTTTTAAAGTCTTCGATTCCTGATGATTATCTTGTTCAAATACCTGGACATTGGGTAGTGGCTGGTAATTTCCAAATCCTGAAACTGCCAGACTTGTGTATGTGGGTGAGAGTCACAGAGGATTTCCTTAATCCTCAGTATTGTTTAGTAGTTTAAGCACATAGATTCGGAGCCAGCATGCCTTGATTCTGATCTTTGCTCTATCTCCAGCTAACAGTGACACAGTGAGCAAGTCATGTATATATGTGCTTCATCTTCAGATGAAAATGAAGATACCTCGTGGGATTATTGGGAGGATCAGGTGATCTAGAGAGGCTGGGACAGTTTGGTAAACATCATTTGTGAGCAATAATCCTGGGGATGACTCTTCTAGCCCCCCATTCCTCTAAAGGAGAGGTGTTCCACACCGTGCACAGAACGAGAGAAAGAGAAGAGGGTTTAGATTCTTCGAATATTCTATCAGGATTAGACTGGACGACAGTCATTACAAAGTCAGGGGACCCACCTCTGCTCCCGGGTCCCACCGCGACTCCTGTTACCCTGGTAACCAGGGCGGGTTCCACGTCTAAACGGGTCCGGAAGGCCGCGGACAGAAAAGTCTCCTTCCATCCCAGTTCCGGAATGTCCTCCCCGATAGCAGGCTTGCTTTGCAGCGGGTCCCGACTCATTTCTCTTCCAGACAAGCTCCTGCTTCCTTTCTGAACGCGCCGGCCTCCAGAGTGTCCAGCGAAACTCTCCCACGGGGAGCCTCCGGGTCTCGCGGTCGGGAGGAAGGTTTTTCCAGGGAGCACAACTTCCGGTCTGGAGCGGAAGTCTCTCCCCCCTTTTTTTTCTGCCGGGCCGCGCGCTTCCTTCCCCCCCACCCCCGCCACGCGAGGCTGCGGCGCACGGTATGGGTGTGTTTGTGTGTGTTTGTGTGGGGAGGGCGTTTGGAGGGACGGTGACCGGGAGCTCTGAGGCCGCCGCGGGGCAGGGATCCCGGTGACCAAGATGGGGGGGTGCTTTTTGTCTTCCATTTGGAAGCCCCATCCCCCCCTTCGGACACCCTAGATACTTCCCAGGGCCCAACGGAAGGCCTTACCCGTCCCAGGCGTCCGTCCCCCCTGTGGGCAGCGAAACCCAACCGCCGGGGCCGCCGCCCCGGCCGGGCGCGCGCGGGGGATGCGCGCGGGGAGTGCGCGCGGCGGCCCGGCCCCCTCGGGCCTCGGTCCGGCGAGAGCGCTGCCCGTCGGGCTGGGCTGGGCCTCGGGTGAGGGCAGAATAACCGGTGGGAAGGCTGCGTTTTCACGAAGGACTCGGGTGAAGCTGCAGAGCTGCCTTTGAGCCCTGACTCCTTGGCTTCCTGGGTCGGAGGAGATCTTGTAATGGAGTGGTTCTTCGTCTCACACTAACAAGATGCCTGATTTCCTCAGGATCGAGGGGTGAGTGAGTGTTGGGGTGCTCGCACAAAGCCCCTGCCAAGCTTCACGTGTGAATATCTTTGTCATCTAGTGTTTTTTGTGTTTTTTTTTTAACTTCTGTACGAAATAAAGAAAAAAAGAAATGCCCCGGCTTGAAAAATTTAGGTCCTTTTGCATTTGATGTTTTCAGGCGTCAGTTTTTGTAACTAGTGACATATGGTTTCTGACACGCGAATCTAGGTATTTGCTTTGTGCACACTGATTTGAGGATTGGAGATTTGATTTCTTATCGGGCTGTGGATGTACACGGTTTATCTGGGATTATGTAGGAGTCATGGCTTTAAGCGGGAGAACTTCTGGTATCCAGGGTTCAACATCTTACGAGTTCAACCCCCGCCCCGCCTACCCCCCCCTGCCCCGCCAACCGAAAACATTTGGGGAAACAAATTGTATCTATAGTAGCCATGTACAGACTTGTCATCATTTAAAAAAAAAATTAAGTCTGCTACCTACTTAAGTAGCATTTGCATTGTATCAGGTATTGTAAATAATGCAGACCTGATTGAAAGGGTATGGGAGGTTGTGTTTTGGTTATATGTGAGGACTTTTTACCATTATAAATGTGAAAGTTGAGCACCCGTGGATTTTGATGTGGGTTTGGGTATGTGTCCCAGCACCAATCTCCTGTGGATACTGAAGGATAGATACTTGCCTCATTAAACACGGAGTTTAAGTAAAATGCTGCTCATGAAAACACTTAGTTTCATGCAATTTTAAGGAGCTTTAGTGTGCCATTATCCCTTTCACCCCTACATTAATTGTGGTCAGGCATTTAAGTGGTGAAAGAAAAACTGTTCTTTAAGATTTTTGTCTCCTAGTTGAGTGATTTTCCTTTACCTTACACTTCTTTATACTATTTAACAGAAAATTAAAAGAAGGAAATAATGAAATGTTCTTTTTAAATTTATTTCAGGTTGAAGAATGTCCCGGGTTCCACTGGGGAAAGTCCTCCTGAGGAATGTCATCCGACACACTGATGCTCACAATAAGGTATGTGTTGTGGGGGAAGGTTGGTGTGTGTGTGTGGGAATACCACCCACTCATCCTTAAACACTTGAGGCTACAGAGTGTGCCCAGTGTTATTGTGACACAGCAAGAGAGAGAGCAAATAGAAATAAATAGGTAATTATGCTTTGTTAATTACTATGGAGTGGAGACAATTACAAAGTACTTTAGAGCTCTGAGGTAACAATAATGAAATCTGCCTTTGGAAGTTAGAAAAGATTTCCAAGAATGAGTGGCAATTGAGGTGCTGATGTTTGAACTGGTTCTTGTACAATGGTTTAAGTTGACCAGATATGAAAGATTATTCTGAACAGAGAGAACATCTTGTACTAATACGTGGCAACAAGAAAGAGCATGAGCTGGTAAGGTAGGTCAGTGGTAGTGTACTTGCTTAGCATGTAAAAGGTTCTGGGTTCAAATCTTATCACTACCAATAAGAAATGAAAGCATTAATCACTTGGGTATGACAGGAAAGAGGGGCTTATAGGAGATAGTGGCAGAAGATAAGGTCTCAGTGGAAAGTTCAGTTATTGTGATACTTGGAGATAGATGTTAACTGAAAATGTAAATGTAGCATAGATTTATCACAGTTGTTTGGGAGAACTTAAAAGCAAAAAATATGTTCTTGTTCTTTTTGCTACTTATAGTTTGATATGTAGAAAATTCTTTAGCCAACAGTATGGTTTGTTTTGTTTTTGACAACCTTAATGTGTAAAGAGATTCAGTCTAGAGAATTTAAAGAGCTGTCTTCAGTAAGCTTTTGTTGTTTGGTTTTTGGCAGTACTAGAATTTGAACTCAGACCACACACTCAGAGTGTGTGCTAGTCAGGAGCTCTACCACCTGAGCAAATCCCAGTTCACTTTTTTTTGTGGGTCCTGGGGCTTGAACTAAGGACCTGGGTGATGTCTCTGAGTTTCTTTTGCTCAAGGCTAGCGCTCTACCACTTGAGCCACAGTGCCACTTGTGGCTTTTTCTTAGTACTTTATTGGAGATAAGAGTTTCACAGACTTTCCTGCCTGGGCTGGCTTTGAACTGCGATCCTCAGATCTCAGCCTCCTGAGCAGCTAGGATTACAGGGACAAGGTACCAGTGCTGGCCCTGATTTACTTTTACTTTAGTTATTTTTCTCTCTCTTCCTCCCTGCTTGCATGCGTGCGCTCTCTGTCTCTGTCTCTCTCTTTCCTTTGTAATACTGGGTATTGAATTTAGGACCTTGCATTTGCTTAACATGCTTTAGTTATCTTTCTAATTGAGTTTTCAGTTCTTGAATAGCCAGGATGACAGATACATGCCACCATGCCCGCCTTTATATTGGTGGAAATGAGGTCTTTGGAACTTACTTTTGCCTGTGCAGGTTTTTAAATACAGTCATCATAATCTCTGTCTCCTGAATGGCTAGGATTAGAAATATGAAGCAGTGCTTACAGCACTAGTTTTGTGGTTTTGTTTTTGTTTTCACTTGAGGGTAAAATCTCGAGTTTTGGCTTCTTGGTAAAATGTACTAGTAATTCTCGCATTAATTTCCTTATAAAATTGTTTAAGGTTCTGTTGTGGTGATGCAGTTAAACTCTTAGACATGTGGGATTATTATTTGTTAATTGTACCATGATTTTAAAATTGGACATGTGATAAATGTGTCTGTTCAGAGTTACCAACTCTTGCTGTAAAATTTGAGATTTATTGTTTAGCCATGTTCTTGAGAACTCAGAATTGACTTTCCAGGTCTCTGATCATAACCCCATGTGCAATACACAACTAGTGCAGACTGTATTTTCAGCTTGTTATTTTTCTGTAATACAAAGTTACTTTAAGTGACATTTTGTTTCTTTTCAAAAAATTAGATTCAGGAGGAATCAGATATGTGGAAAATCAGAGAACTAGAGAAACAGATGGAGGATGCTTACCAAGGGACCAAAAGGAAAATGTTACCCAGCAGTTCAAGGTGAAGCTCAAATCTCTCCAGAACCAAAATAATTCTCAATCTGTTTCAGCGTCATCACTTTTGTTTAGCAACATTTTAATATTTTAAGGATGTATGACTTCAGTTCTGTGAGTCATTAAGCTTTCCCTGTTTGGTAAATCTAGATGGAAGCATAAAGATACAGTGGTGATTGATTTGGAGAGACTATTTACTTGTGATGGGAAATTTGCCATATCTGTCTTGGAATTGTAAATGTTCAAGATTCTTTGAATTCCAGCTGCCTGACAGCTTTTAACTTCAGATTTTCTTCTGGTTACTTAACTGATGAGTCACTACTTTCGTTTGTAACCACTTGTTATTTTAGACTTAGTTTTGGTA